TGAAGCTGCTATCATCAATAATTAAAAATGGAAAAACTAAAACCTAGGCTAATGTGGTTTCTGGAACCAAGCATTTCATTTTGCTTTGAGCTTCATGCCTTAAATGGAGCCTGGAACACAATAGATGCCCCCCAAAATCCATTGGTTAATAGATAATTGTCTGCTGTGCTCACTGGATCCTGAAGCAGGTACCCAGTCAATACCCATTAATGGAAACCAATAATAAAATGCTATCAATCTCAACCAGTATCCCTGGACCCCAGCTACAACCCTGATCCAGGCGGGGCCCGGGATGAGTGTCATCAACATTGGGCTGGGTCGTAAGACTATGAGGTCCCCTCCCCACAACGGGAATGGGCAACCAGGGGGACTGACCCTCATCTCTGTCCAGTATCCGGGAGTGGTGAGCACAGGCAGGTCTTCCCTTCCTGATTGCCCTGTCAATACAGAGCACAGAGGATGTGTGGGCTCAGCCTCATTCAATATTTACTGCCCTTTCTCGGCCTACCTCCGCACATGCAGGTGTGCGGAGGCCCAGACTGAAACCCTCATTCTCACTCATCTCTAGGAGCCAGCATCAAACGCCCACAGGATTCCTTTCCTCAGATGAGACGGCACCCAGAACACAGTGGGCCTGCCATTGCCTCAAAGACAACACAGCTCCACCTGATTGCACCATCTTCCTCCAAACCAGGCTTTTTCAACTTCCCGCTCTGACCATGGCTCCGCATTCCCCCCATCACCCAGGCCTACAACCTCTGTCTCCAGCCCACTCCCCAAATCCAGTCTCCAGTCACCACGTGTCAAGAGCACTTCCTCCACCAGGCCCACACTGCCATCCCCTCCAGTTTTACTGGCAGCCCCCTCACCAGGCACCTGCGGTCATCTCGTGCCTGGACCACTGCAGGAGACTCCTAACTTGCCTTCCTGCTCCCAGGCCCTCTGTCTCCAATCCAGCCTGCACAGGGATGCAGTTGAATCAAAGTAGAGAATCCCTTCCATCCATGCACAGTCCTGCCCAGAAACAGCTAAGAGTTTCCAGTTGCCTTTAGCGTGGGGTCTCACTTGCTCACCAGCATTCATTTAACTTGACCGACATCTATACAATACTCACTCAGGATCAGGTACTATTTAGTCCGACTGCTTGCACACATGAACTCATTTAAGCCTCATTAAAATGAGGTCGGTACTATTATGATCACTGCTTTACAGATGGGGAAACAGAGGCATGAAGAGGTAAAGTAACCTGTCTAAGGTCACATCGTTAGTAAGTGACAGAAAACAAATTTGAACCCAACTACTAGTCTAGCTCTGCAGTCCTCAGTCCCGTCTTTGGGCATCTGTGGCTAGGATGCATGGACCGGATCCTCCTTGCTTTCCCAACCTTCTCTTCCAACCCCTGGGACTCGTGACCTGATGAACGTGGCTATCCTCTGCTCCTTTCCTTCCCATGAGGACGCCTTTGCTCTGTGTCCCTCCTACGTGTAATGTCACTCCCCACCCCCTCTGTTCTGTCTAGCTCTTGCCCTGTCAAGGCTAAGCTCAGCCCACTTCCCTGACACCCCCAACCTCAGTCATCCGCACCTCCTATGACTTCCCCTCAGCCCTCACCTGGTGCTCTTGTCCACAGTCTGGATTGCCCGCCCTCTCTCATGGGGTCCAAATAGAATCTACCTCCCCTGTTCCTCTAGGGCAAAGAGAGAGCATGTTGCAATTCTCACTGATCTCCCATAATAGCTCATTGCCAGAGGGAGCGGGGAGAAGAGAGGGAGCTGGTGAGACTAGACCAAAAATGAGGCGACCACAGGAGGGGAGGGTGTGGGCTTCTTGGAGGAGGTGGACATGCACAAACTCATCAGTCCCTGCAAGGAGGGAAGGGAAGGTCCTCAGGACTGGCCAGCCCCTGCTTGCCTCTCCCACCCTGTGATCTTCCCATTGCCCCTCCTCATCAAATTCCTGGCACCCTGGCCTCCTTATTCCTGTCCTGGGGCATTTGTGGCAGAAATGCTTTTCCCAAGGTGCTTGCAAGGCCGATTCCTCTTGTCTTCAAGGTGCAGCTCAACAGTAACCTCTTCAAGTCTTTTCCTGACTGCTCTCTCCGATGTTCTAGTCTCTTCTTTTCTGTCTCTCTCTCCGTTACCCTGGTTTATTGCCCTGTTTTATTTTTCTTTCTGGTATTTCTCAGTTCCCAAAGGTCTTTACTTCTTTCCTTGTTGTCTGTGGCTGCCACCACTCCATTTAAACAGATCTCCCTTATTCACCTCTGAATTCCAGCAATTTGAGCATAGTAGGTCATTAATAATTATTGATTGAATGAAGAATAAATGAAGGGCCAAATGAGAGAAACTTGTTTGCTGTGGACCAACACAATCATGCATAGGCCTGTGCCTCTCCTGCCCACTTTGGATGGGAAAGACTATCTGTGCCCACACATGGCGGCAACGCAAAACCTCCCCCAGATGAATGCCTTTGACAAGACCCCAAAGGCACTATGGGCAGATGTGGAGTTGTCAGGACATAGGACTGGGGATAAGGGTGGTCTTGATCCCCAGAGTTTCCAGCTTAAGTGGAATGAATGTTTTTGGTTTCAATCCTGATTCAAATATTTAATATGTGTAGGTCATTTTGACCATTGTGGTAGGCAAGATTTGTTTAATGTAGGCATAACTTCCTTAACCAACCATTTTCTTACTGGATTCTTATATGAACCCCAAAAGGTAAGTAGTAATCTGTTTTAATGGACGATGAAGTTGAGGTTCAAAGATATTCAACTACTCACCAAAGGTTACTCAGTTCTGGGGTGGGACAGGGAGGGTGGGAGGGAGACGCAAGAGGGAGGGGATATGGGGATATATGTATATGTATAGCTGATTCACTTTGTTATAAAGCAGAAACTAACACACCATTGTAAAGCAATTATACTCCAATAAAGATGTTAAAAAAAATTACTCAGTTCTAAGTTCTTGTCTTAGATCAGAATATTACTGAATGATGTCTGATCACTTCATTCTTACTGGGGGGAGGGGGGATCGTTTGTACAAAGAAACCCTAAGAAGAGGAGGTATCAATACTATGTAGCTCTTATCAAGCTATTTCTATGTGCCAGCCACTTTTCTGAGACACTTGCATGTTGAAATTGATCGAATCCTGTCGCTGCCCTAGGAGAAAGGAACAACTGTAATTCTCAGTTAACAGATGGAGGAACTGAGACACAGAGAGGGTAAGCAACTCGCCCACGGACACATAGCTAACCAGCGGATGTGACAACAATAGTAAGTCTCCCCAAATACTCCATTCGCTTCCCTTTGTTTCCCACCCTCTTCCTGTGAAGCTGTGACTAGTTCTAGCCAATGAAATATGAGTGGAATGGACGTCTGTCACTTCCAAATGTAGGCAGTGAAAAGCCCAGGCATGATTCTCCAGTCTGTCCTTTTCCCTGACATGAAAGCGTGGAGATGTACAGATGGCACCTCCAACCACCTAGATCCCTAAGTCACTGTGTGGAACAGGGTCCCCCACTGCCCCACATGGGACATGCAGCATGGGAAGAAATAAACTTGTATTGTGTTAACGGCAGAAATTTGGGGGATTGTCTATCACCATGCATCTCCTAGTCAATCAGTAGTGGAATCAAGGCTCAATCCAGCTCTGTCTTTACCATGAATTCTAAGGCTCAAATTATCTGGGTATGAATCTTACCTAGTAATGGCCACCAAAATCCTCAGAACAAATCGAGCCACTTCTCTCCTTCCCCTGCATGCTGCAAATCTGTAGGGGACATCTCGTGGAGCTCCTGCGTATCTTAAAGCCCTCTTTAGTAACACTACTCTGCCCATGTGATTCTGCTGGAACCCAGGACACAGCCTGGGCAGTGAGAGCACTGAAGTTTCCTAGCCCCAGTGACTGTGCACACGACTCTGGTTGGTGCAGACAGGGCAAATCCCAGGGCTTGTGTAGGATTTACCAGGGCAAGAAGCACTCTCTCTCCTGTTCATCCTTAGGGGGTGTAGGCCTGAGCTGATGGCCATTTTGCCACCCCGTGGGACCTAAGAGTGAAACCAAGCCCCATGGTGAGAGCTGAGCTGAAAGACAAGACCCAGTGGTGCCATCTGAACCACTGGATTCAGCTGGGTCTGATTCCAGCTCTACTCAAAAGTGTCTGTTGTTGACCAAAGCAGTTCAAATGGAAATTTTCTGTCACTTGCAACCAAAAGGTTCTGAGTGGGATGTCACTGCCCCATCTGCTTCTGCCATGCTGCAGAGCACTGTGTTATCTCGATGGAGGGAGAAGAGATGCCTGGGGACCCAGGAGCAGGGGTCAAGGAGACATCTGGAAGAGACGGTGGGCTTGGGCAGAGCAGGGCTGAGGTGCTGGCAGGATGCCTGGATAGAGGTGCCTGACAGGTATGGAAGGAAGTGTGGACAACAGTCTGAAGGGTGCTAGAGCCTCTGATCCAGATATGGAAGGTCATGGCTGAGGGTGCGGGAGGATGTGAGACCATGGGACAGGGGGAGGGAGGGGAGTGGGGGTCAGAAAGGGACCAGAGAAGAGAATGGAGTCCAGACCTTAGGGAGTGGGAACCTCAATTCAATGAGAGAAAGACTTAAGTGGAAGGTGTTTGTGGCTTGGGGCCAGCTCCTGAGCTACGCTCTCCCTCAGTCTCTTTCTCTGTTAAATGGGTTCACAGTCTCCCTGTGTTGTGCTGTAGTGAGGCTGGAGGATGCAGGGCAAGCCCATCTCTGAGTGCTAGAGCTCAGCCAAGCTGAGCTGGTATTAGTTAAATGGGAGAAGAGAGGTAGAGGACCCAGTGTGGATGTGTAAGGAGAGGCATTTCCAGAAGAGGTGGCTTCCTTCCTGGTGTTCCCCGAACACGGCTCTCACAGCCTGTTGTTCTGAAATTGCCTGTTGCCACCCAGAGCCCCTCAGGTGGAGGCAGGACCTGTTCTCTTTGTATCCCAGAAACCAGCTGGCATGGGGTTGGCACAGAGCAGGCCCTGGGGGAGTGCTGGGCGTGGGGGCTGGTAGAGGAATGGAAGAAGGACTAGCTGCCCTGCTGACTTCTACAGAGGAGGAGGAGAGGCCCAAGAAGAGGCCATGCAATTTGTCTCCTAAGAAGTCACTGGTGGCTGTTGGGCATCACATGGTTGACTGAGGATCTGCTGCTGTTCTACGTGTCCCTGTCCCTCCAAAAGTCACTTCCCACCACCAGCAAGTGAAAGGAACTGGGGGACCAGGGGGTATCGGGCTGCACCTCTCACTGAGTTTCCCAAGGGCAGACCAGGCTCCCTTTCTCAGGCCCAGACTTGTCACCAGCTGGCAGGTAGCCAAGGCTGCCGCCCCCTCAATTTGGTAGGGGCTCTTATCTCAGACTGCTGGAGGAATTTGACACCTTTGACCCCCTTTCATCCTTCCTGGGGCAGTCTGGCAGGCAGAGATGTTCCAAAGAGCAGCTGGGCTCATCCCCAGAAGGGCCACCCATATATAGGTGATGGTGGCACCAAGGGCACTTCCCCAAGGCAAGCCCCCAGGGAACCTGCATCTTGATGATATCTGCTGAGACCCAGGAGTGATGCAGGAGGGTTAATCTGATGTGGGCTGGGGCAAAGGCCCTAGAAGAACCTTCTGCTCCTGAATCCCTACTTTGCACAACTTCACTGGCCCTGCGGCCCTGCATTCCATCCTTGGGGTTGTTGTGAGTCCTCCTTTAAGACGAAAATACCTCCAGGGTGGGACACCATCACTGTAGGGAATAAAAACAAACCCCTCAGCTGTGGCCCTGTGGACACAGGGAGAACACGGACTTGCTGGAAGGGATGATGAAGAAAGGGAAGGAGTGGAAAAGGAGCTCAGCAAACCTTTCCCTCCTTCACAACGTTGCCTCCTCAAGTGGGGTGGGGCTGAGCTCCCTCTCGCCTTTCTTCCCTTCCAGACTCTTTGCCAGCTGCTGGATCCGGTGACAGGGACACCCGGTTTGTTCAATCAGGTCCCTTGAGGTGAGAGTGAGGTGAGACCCGCAGAGCCTGGAAGAGAGTAAGGGTCCCTCCCCTACCTTTTACCCCTCCCACCCTCTCCCTTGTAGCCCACCCTGTCTCAGCGAGGAGGAGAGGCACATCTGAGGGAGAGGGCTCAGAGGACAGTGGGGGACTTGGGAAAAGCCGCCCTCGCCTCGCCTCTGGATCCTCAGTCCCTGGGTGGGGTGGGATCATCCTCGGGGTCTCTTCCAGCTGAGACCATCACAGTCATCAGTGCCACCTACCTCATCCTCCTGACACGTAAGAGGAGAAGATTTTCCCCTTCTCCCTGCTCCCAAGTGATTCCCAGGGGTACTGGAAGGGAGACAAGCCTTCGTTCCAGATCGGGGCCCCTCCCTGGATCCAGGTGAAGACTGAAAGGCACAATTAATGCCCTTTACCTAGAGCAGTGGCTCAAAGTATAGCAGGAGTTTATTCTGATGCCACTAGTTTGAGAACCACTGACCCAGGGAAGACTTAGGCTAGAGTTTGTGGGGGGACTGGGTGTGGAGTGGAGACAAGGGAGAGGACATCCCAGTGGCCTGGCTGGCAGCAGCAGGTGGGCTTCTCCACGGGAAGGAGCTGGGCCAACTCCAGGGTCAGGGGTCTGGCCCTGCCTCTGGGCTGGGGATGTTTATGGTGGGCAGGCCAGGGGGAGAGCTGGCCCATGGTTTTCATAAGCTGTTCAGAGGAATGTGAAACCCCACGATACTGGAGCCTTTCTCTGAAAAGCTTTTAATTTATTTAATACACAATTAATATTTGAATACATTCTCACCAGAAAAAGTCAGACCATACCAAAACACAGGGCGCAACCAAGAAAAGTCCTCCCCTGACGCCCCACAGTGCTAGACCCCTCCCCAGAAGCAGCCACTGTGATCTGTTTGGGGTTTGTCCTTCGAGAACTCTCTGTACATGTGTATGTACACACAGAAGTACACGGCTGGGGAGTTTTTACATAAACGGGATAACGATGGGTATTTTACACTTCAACTTCCCACCCCTCACCTCCCCCACCGCACCCCCATTTAACAGCTCATCTTAGCAACCCATCACAGGCTCTGGGACTCTTCTCAACAGCGTCTCTGCTGTGGTGGCTCTTGTGGCAAGAGAAAGAAACATGTTCACAACACATAAGAGCATCTTCCTTTCCTTGGGCCCTCCACACGCCCCATCCCAGTCATGCCCACCCTACCCTGACACACACACTCTGACAGTGGTCTGAATTGAGGAAACCCTCTCCAGCTCTTGACCTGTGTGGCAACCCCTGAACTCCCAAGCACTAGGGTGCCGAGGATCTGGGGCCTCCTTTGGCTCCAGGGCAGGCATTCCTTGGCCCCCAGAAGGCCCTCCCTGGAACCAGAGCGGGGATGGGCACTGGAAGGCGGTGTCACCACTGAAAGAGTTGTGTGCATTTGTACCTTTATCCTGAGTGGGAGTCCAAAGTCTTCCCTCAGTCCCAAAGGCTTCCAAAACCCTAAAAGATTAAAACCGCAGCTGTAAATTGATTACTTCTTAATGGGAAAGAGCATAGTAGTCAAAATAATTCAGTTCTTTCTAGAGCACTTTCTAATGTACAGTCGCAGGCTCCGGAGTTCTGCTTGGGAATATGGTGGCCTCACCCTCTCCCCAGGCTTGGGGCTGGGGACAGAGAAGAGGGAGGAAAGGAGTGAGGGAGAGGAAAAGTTAAAGACAAGATGAGGAGTGAAGCAAGTGAGCAACCCAAGTGTCCCCCCAAAATCCATGTCCTTCCCGGAACCTCAGGATGTAACCTTATTAGATAGGGTTTTTGTAGCTGTTTACTCTTCATGACTGTAGTTTTGTAGTAATTAAGTTAAGATGAGGTCATACTGGAGTGGGTGGGCCCTTAATTCAACATGACTGGTATCCTCATACAAAGAGAAGAAAACCGATACAGAGGTCCCAGAGGGGACAAACGCCACCCACGTGACAGTGGAGGCAGGGGTTGGAGTGATGCATCTGCAAGCTAGGGACCCACAGGGCTGCTGGCAAGCACCTGAAGCTAGGAAAGAGGCAGGAGACAGCCTCAGGGACCAACCCTGCCAGCACCTTGATTTGGGAATTCTAGCCTCCAGAAATGTGAGAGAATGCATTTCTGTTGTTTAAGGCACCCAGTTCATGGTACTTTATTATAGCAGCCCTAGGGCCCGAACACACCAAGACAGGGTGGCAAAAAGCAGAGCTCAACAATGGGTTCTGGGGAGACCCTGAAGCCGCCCCCCGCCCCACAACCAGAGTCCCCGGCTGTCAGTAACTGAAAGGGCCAGACCGCTCTGGGTCAAAGAGTCTGCACCATGTCCTACCCTAGCTGGGGCTGTGCTCTCTCAGGTGTGCAGGCAGCTCTCAGCCTGGAGAGATTTCCCCTAGTAAACAGCAAAACCAAACACATGTTCCCCTCCAGGCCCCGCGTCACCTGCCACTTGGCAGTGAGAGACGTCAGCCCAGCCCCTGGCTGGCAGCGCTGACAGGCGCCCATCTGCTCCGGAAATGCCCGGCCTGGGTAAACACAGCCGGGCTCTGCCTCTCACTGCCCGACCAGCCGGGCCCGGCGGGCCATGCAGGAGCCCTGGGCCTCAGGCCCCCTCAGGGTCACTTTCTACCCCAGGCTGGCCACGGCCGGTTGCCCCTACTGGAATGGCATCCCTGGAAACTGGGAGGGTAGACACAAGAAAGGAAGAATGGCGGCTCATCGCAGGACGTAGCCTCCCTCCCAGGTCACTTCCTTGAACCCCTCCCTGCTGGGCCCAGGGTCACTGCCCCCGCCCACTTGCCCTCCCCTCCTCACTCACGCCCACATAAAGCCATCTGCCACCCTCGCCCCCCGGCAGGCACCACAGCCTGTGACTCAGCGCCCAGCCCTGAGGCTGCTCTGTGGGTGGCCGTGCCGGAACCTTGGTGGGGAGGGAGGTGCTGGGAAGGGGGCCCGGGGTTGGTGGGGAGGGGGAGGGCTGGGGGGAAAGACACGTGCAAACCCCAGGTGGCCTTTCCCTGAGCACCAAACCCTGACCACACTGCCTTCATCCGGTTCTTAAAGCAGATGACTCTCCAGCAGAGGTGTTGCTTAAAACGTAATAGTCTCGTTAAAATGCGCCTAATTCGGTTCCTTTTTTTCCTCCAGTTCCACCAGCTGTTCTTCAGGCCCTGACCCTGGGCCCAACTGGGACCTGTTTCTCTTGTGTATTTCACCCTCACCTCGTGTGCCACCCCCAGCCCCTTGCTTGCAGCGCTTGGAACAGCATATTCACCCCATGCGCCCTTGGGTGGATAAATTCCCGCGAAGGGATTAGAGATTTCCTGTCACCTCCCTGCAGACTTGAGCAAAGAGCTTGATCCCAGTGTTCATCCCAAAGGAAGGGCGGTAATGGTGAGACCGTAGGCATCATTCTCGGGAAGGAGTAAGTGAGGGTGGAGAATGTCACCCCTACCAGCGGCAGGACAAGGGGCTGGTCCTCACCCTGCGCATCTTGGGAAGGTGGCTCCAGGTCTGCTTCTGAGTCAGGAGCTCTTTACGTGTGCGTTCTTTTCCCTCAAAGGGACTTGGCCCCTGGAACTTGGCTGTGGAGGAAAAAACCTGGAGGCTGGGCCTGCCCCACAGCTGGAAGACCGGGATTTGAGGCCCAGCCCCAGCCCGGGGTTGAGGATAGGGGTGGAGGATCCAGCCCCGGAAGACCTGAGTTCCCAGCCCGCAGGAGCCTGCTTGGGGCATCTGTCTCCACTCACTCTTGCTGAGCCTCCTTCCAGAGGGTCCAGCCTCCTCCAAGGCTCACGTAAGCTGCGTGGAGATTTAGCCACCTCGCCCCAAAGCTGAACGGAGTCGTCGGGATTTGGCCCTCGTTCCCTCCCTTACCTGGCGGCCCCCTGGAGTCTGTCTCGGGATTCTCTTACAGAACCAAGCAATGGTGCCCTGTCTTCTTTTCCCAGCCCTGTTCCCTCCCAAACAAGCTACAGCCTCCTTTCATTTCGTAGTGGTTGTTTTACTGCTGGTGGCCACAAGGAAAAGGATCAGGCCTAGCAAAAGTTAAGAATCCTGGAAAGCTCCAAGAAACCTCAACTTGTAGCAGGAAGAGTATGAATGTGTTTAACTTCTGGGTCTGCAGCCACGTGTAAACTTGAGCAAGATACCTACCGTCTCTGTGCCTCGGTTGCTTCAACTCCAAGTAGGGGATAACGTGAGTATCTGACCCAAAGGGCAGCTGTGAAGGTTTAATGAGGCAGAGAATTGTGAAAATACACAATCTGAGATAGTTAGTCTGGTTCCTTCCAAAGTGTACACAGTCTGCTAATAGTAAAAATTAATCATAGTCACATTCATTATTCATTTAGCACTTTTCTGTGTCGACGCAATGAGTGTCAGACACTGTCTGAGGATTTGCCTCCCATAAGTCTGTGTTCTTTCACCCCAGTCTTTCTTCCCACACTTCTTCAAGAGACAGTTCAATGCCCACGGAGGCGCGCCTCCCTCTCCCTGGGCACTGGGTTATTTTCCAGGCTAATCCTCTCTAGAGGAGAGGCACATATGCTGCTTCCCAGAGCAGGAAGGTGGGCAGAAAACGGCCCCAGCTGGAAAAATCAGAGTTTGCATTTCCACACAACTCCTTCAGAATAATAGACTTGTAGAAAAAAACAAAAAGCTCCACTTAGAGAGCAGCAAGCTATTTTGCCCAGAGTTCTCCCGACCTGCCCCATTTCACAGCTGCAGAAGTTGTGATATTTCCCAAGGCCACACAGCAAGTAAGCAGCAGAGATTCCACCAACACTGAGCACCTACAACATGGTAGGTACTGTATCCACCACGGTAGGTTCTGTATCCATCCACGTCATATACACCCATGGCATCCACGCCATGCTCCCAGCTCTGGTCAGAGCGCTGGAGAGGTAGGAACCGGGAATGGCATAGACATTCTATGGAGGGGGATCAGACCCCACACAAGTCCAAAAAGTCCCTGCTGAGACTGATAAATGCTATGAAGAAAATAAATCTGGGTGCCAGATGGAGTGGTGGGTGGATTTAGGGGAGGGGGCGCCCTCTTTACCTACTGTAGTCAGGAAGGCCTCTGAAAAGTGACATTGAGCAGAGACTGAAAGATGAGACACAGGTATGTGAAGAGCTGGAGGAAAAGGCCTCCAGCTAGAAAGATGGCAAATGCAAAGGCCCTGGGGCAGGAGTATGCTCGGGCTCTTCCAGGAACAGGAAGAAGGCCAGTGTGGCTGGAGCAGCAAGAGTGATGGGCAGTGGAGGAGACCAGGAGAGGGAGTCAAGGGGCCTCATTGCCATGGTAATGAGCCTGAATTTATTCTAATGGCAACGGGAAGCCATAGGAGGTTTACTAAGCACGGCAATGACCGTTATGATGTGTCGTGTACAAAGATCACTCAGGTGGCTGTGTGAAGAATGGATGGAAGGGGGGCAAGGAGCTGTGAGGAAGCTTTGGTGGCCTGGACCACCAGGCCAGCTGTGGGGATGGAGGGAAGAGGAAGGCAGATAAACACCTGATACTAACACGTGAAGCACTGAGCACTGGCCCGGCATGCATCAAGGGATACTCAGCATAGAGTTGGGGGCCCAAGAAAAAGGGGTGCTTGTGGCTAGATGTGTGGCCAGGGTTAGGAGAAGCGGGGGCAGTGACAAGGAGTTGGGGGCCTGCCTTTCCTGGGCTTAAGGCCACAGGAGGCCAGCAGCCCGGGGTGGGACCCTGCAGGGACAAACTCTGGAGATCCCACATCCTCCTTTCAGTTCCCTAATGTGTATGATGTCTTTCTCTTCTTAAAAGGCCATTGTCAGAGGCACTATTTGTGACATATCAGTGTTGCAGAAATAAAAACCTGGAAGCAATTAGAATAAAAAACAGCTTACTATATTCAGTTTTGTATTTCAAAATTTTGTTTAACTTGTACATACACGTGATAAAAATTTCAGAGTACAAGAGCATATAGCAAGAGATAACTCTCCCTCCACCCCATCCTCGTCCCTAGAACATATTCTGTTATCTATTCTTTTTAATTTTTCCAGAAATATTCTCAGCATATACACACATATATATTACACATTAAACATGGAAATAGCATAGTATAGTGTTTTGTATCTTTTTTTCACCAAGCCATATTTCTTAAAGATCATTTCGTGTTGGTCCGTGAATCACTGTTTCACTCCTTCTTGGTGGCTGCACGTTACACCATTACAGAGCTGTATCATACAGGAAAGTAGGTATTTAGATGATTTCCAGGTTCGGCTAATATAAGCAATGTAGCAACAAACAGCTTCATATGGAGGTCTTTGGCATTTCCATTGGATAAATTCCTAGAAATGGAATTTCTAGCTCAAAGGACAATTACATATTTTTCTGTTTGAATAAGTATTGACAAATTGCTGTTTAGAGCAGTTGGACGGACTCACTCCCCACTCTCACCCACTGCTGACCCTGACAGCATCCCTTTCACAATGTCGATACAAGTCATTGTCCAAATGTTTCATTTTTGCCAATCTCACCACACCAGACAACTTGCATGTGTTAAGTGTAAGCCCACCTTCATTGGTGTGGTGGCTGTTATCACCCTCATTCTGCAGTTCGGCGAACTTAGTTCACTCACCCCAGGACAAAGCCAGTGTCCCAGCACTGCTGTGAACCACAGAGATGACAGAAAGCACGGCTGGGAACAGAATAGGCAAGGCCAGGAGTGGGGAAGCTGAGGCCAGGCAAGGGTGTGGTTACCTAAGCAGACACTCAGGCTCTGGCAATCAAGATGGGGGAAGGGGACATACAGGTCAGAAGCCAAGAGACCAGTCAATGATCAGGTCTATAAACCCGCTCCACCAGGACCAGGGACACAGTGCTACCTCTTCTGCGCTCATGCCTGGGCCAGCCTGAGCCCCGGATGTGGGCGTCAATGAGCCATATTAGGGCTAAGGGAAATAGGTCAGTCACTTGCTGGAGGAGTAGCAAATTTAGGAGCAGAGATGAGCGTGGATGTTGACATCTGGGACTAAAGCCCCAAGTTTCCTTTCTTCCTACCATGAACAGCTTGGCAGTTGCAAAGCAGGAAAATGCAGTCTCCATTAAAATTGAGAGAGAAAGGTCCCTGTCAATAAACCACAGTTGCCAAATGAACCTAAGTTTAGCATCACACTCTAAGCCTGTTCGGGAGCCTCTTGACTTTTCTAATGGCCTCCACTTCCGTGAACTCAAGGTAATGGCATCAGCTTCAGAGAAAACAATGTTCTAAATAAAGAAATGCAATCAGAGCTGCTGACCTCCGACAGAAGACTCCTCTCGTACGCCTTGGACTTGAAGTAAGGAATGTGTGCTTTGAGAGGGTGTATGTGTATGTGTGTGTAAAGATTATGAATTTCAGGCGTGACTGAAACCAGAAAGTCCTAACATGTTACTAAGGCTGGCCTATTAAACAAACAAACAAAAACTTTAAAAAAATTTAGAGTCAGGAGGGCAGGGAAACCTGACTTTTGAAACTGACATTAGGGCCCATCCAGGTATAGGGGGTATTATTCAGAGATAGGATGCCCAAAGGAGTGGGTTTCCAAAGACCCCCTCCCAGACTCAT